TGAGAAAACGTACAACTCTGAGGGTCACCACTATTGGTGGCCCAAGCTGTACAAATGGACGAGCTCCTATGCGCGCACGTGTGAAACGTGTCAGCGAATAAACCCTCCCCAAATGCGGCTGCGCCGCTGGTCAGCTTACCGGTACCCACTTGGTGCTGGCAGTCCATGAGTTTGGACTTTGAGTTTGGCCTGCCAAAAGATTCGGCGGGCAACACGGGTATCGTGGTATTCGTTGACCGGATGAGCAAGATGGCTCATTTGGCGGCGGTGCCAGACACCGTCGATGGGGTCGGTACAGCAACGCTGTTTGTGGATCGTGTTTTTTGACAACACTGACTCCAGAGTCGATTGTCTCTGATAGAGACCCCCGTTTCACAGAAAAATCTGGTCGACTATCTTCAAGGTGTAAGGCTCCAAGTTGGATATGTCGACGGCGGATCATCCGCAGAATGATGGTCAAACCGAAAGGGTATATCGCGTCATCGAAGACGTTCTTCGCAGCGTCTGCGCTGAGACGCTGGAGCGCCATGTTGCCACTCGTAGAGTCTGCACTGAACAATGCAGTTCATTTGTCAACCGGCTACACTTCGTTCTACGTGAACGGGCAGGTTCACCCTCGCGTCCCACTGACGCCGCCATCTCATGGCTCAGGGCTTGGTGGGAGAGGAATAGCCGAATGGCTAGCTGATGTCAGCCCCCCCAACATCCACAAAGAAGTCGATGACTTCCTGTCTACCAGACTGAGTGACCTACGACACATTCGCGATGCGATGGCTGCAAGCCAAGACTTGCAGAAAGAAAATACAGATGAAAAAGGAAGAGGCAAACTAGAAAGCTTGAAGGTCGAGGACCTGGCTATATTGATATCTAAAAACCTTCCTACTGATGCAGCCTCTGCTATCTTCAGAAAAAAAGCTTCGTCCACGGTTTATCGAACCATTTGAGGTTGTGGTCGAACGGGGCCTGGCGTATACGCTGAACCTTCCAAAACGGATGCGCACCCACCCAGTGTTTTACGTGGGCTTGCTCAAGCCGTACCGGGA